TACATGAGTTTATCTTTTTTGATTGCTGAGTAATATTCCATTGTGTATATGTACCACATCTTCTTGATCCAGTCATCTATTTTTGGGCATTTGGGTTGTTTCCATAGCTTAACTCTTGTAAATAGTGCTGGTATAAACATAGGGGAGCAGGTGCCCTTTAAATTAATGATTCTGTGTCCTCTTTAACAATTACAAGCACCACCTCTTTAATTCTCCAGGGAGGGCTGGTTTTAACTTGCTTTTGTGCCACACCTGCCTGAATTACTTGAGCAAATGACTGGCAAAAGTCAGGTGCCTCTCCCTGGAGCTGAAAGATAGATACACCAATCTTTACCATGTAGACTGGGAATGAGATACATATTGTTTCCAAAAGATGTCTCAGTGTGTTTTACAAAAAAGAAAAGAAAGTGATTCTAGATAGGCCTAAGTAACAGATATCCACCCCAAAAGTCATAATTATTATTTACATTTTACACAAACTAAGCAGGCTTAAGAAAAGAAGGAAGATATTCTGCTTCATTGTAATAATATAAAGCAATATCTTAACTGTGCAGAACAATAAAAAAGATTTATATTTGTGAATGCATTCAAGGAATGCCATTCTCACCAACCCTAAAAAGAACACATTTGATAGCTACGTTATCATCTTCAAACTAAAGGGTACAGAGATAGCTTTATGTAGACATAAGTAATTGGGTGTTTTATGGACATTCTGGAATGCATATCTCTCAAGGACTAGCATTTTAATGGGAGCACACTACTCAAAAAACCATAAATTCTAGATTGAACTCAAGTTCTATCACTATTTTTGCATCCATACTGGTTATAGTGTCTGATTCACTGAAGGTACTCAATAATTTTATGTTGAATCAATGAGTGAAAATGGATAAAAGACAAGTCAAATCTACTTATGTACTTAGTAGTGAATGATATAGCCTGAGTATACCTCAGAAGTATTTCCTATTATGGAACTGAAAGATTTGTGAGTGTGTTGAAAGAGCATTATGGCTATTGGTTTCTACCCTAATTGTATTATGACAGAAACTATCCGATAAACATGTACTTGTTTGGGGAGTAGCCATGAGTGGCTCCACACATATTGACTTTGTCCAGACATCACAAATATTTGAAACAACTTTTAAACATTTGATAATTTATTTTTCCATTAAATATTAGTTTATGATGTGCTTTAGAAGTGATTACATTGAACTAAATTAAATATATCTTTTGACAACCTGAACTGGAGGTTGTGGAGAAGTGTCAGTAAATGTGTAAACAGGAGCAGAAATTCACAAAGAGCGGAGTCTTGTAAATAGTGTCAGCTAGAGTTGTGATATTTGTTTCTTAGAATGAAAGCACTAAAAATCTTAGCTTAAGTTGTTGATCAACTATTAGAACTATCCATTAAACAGTGCCATTAAACAGTGTCATCTCAGTGAGGTCTGCCTTTGTGGTAAAATAACTGTATAATCATGTGCAATTCTAAACACCATGTTTTATTTTTTTTCAAATTTGGCAAGATTTATTTATTTATGCAGACAAGAGCTGGGGTACAGGTCAGAGGTGCGGGAGGATGAGAGGATTCACAAGAGACAGAGTGGGGAACAGAACAAGCAGATTGACTGAAAATACTGCTGAGGGGAGCAGCAAGCGAGACAGAAGAGGTCTGCTGTGCCATGTGGGTAGCTCCCTAGCCAGCAGGGCATTGAACTCGTGCTGCAGAGGTTGAAGAGAGCTTCATCGCACTGTGCTTAACCCCTTGCACCACCAGGGAGGCCCCTAAACACCACATTTTAAATAAGATAATGCCAAACTGCAAATTCTCATGAAATCTGAATTAACCATGGTTTACATTGATAATTAGCAATGCCACAAGAATTTAAAGTTATCCTATTCATATTTGAATGCAAGCTACCTGAATAACTTTCAATTTCTGTATATAAAAACTATTATGGGGCCTCCCCTGGTGGAGCAGCGGTTGAGCGCTGGCCTGTGAGGCTGCCCGCAGACTCTGCAACGCTGGTTCGTTCCCCAGCCGCCAGCGAGGGTCCCACAAAAAAAAAAAAAAAAAAAACACGTTATTATGTATATTTCTAATAGAGAAAATGTGATAAACTGGTGAAATGGAACCAGTATAATGAAGAAGTCTTGAGATTCTAACTTGTAAAGGACCAAATTAAGTCTAAACAAGAAAAAGTAAAGGTATTAAATTGCTATTTTTTCTTATAAATCAGATTTAAATAATATATTTTTATCATAGAACCAGGCACATGGTATATATCTAGTGAAAATACTTGTTTTTCTATGAGGATCTGCTTTTCCATTTTATTTAAGTTGATTTTCAGGTAGAAATGTTAACAACCCTTACTTATATTTACGTATATTTTTGCAAGAGTTTCAAACAAGTTAACATTCAGTTTTATTGTAGAAAAATAATTTGTACCTTTGATGGTCTCAAAATAAAATGGAAACTACTCATTATTAGCAAAATAAATAATTAAATAAAAAGTCAAACAATAATTTAAAGCGATAGTCTAGCTTTTATAACAAATCTTTTTATAAGCCAATTTTTGGGGGTTTTGTCTGTTTTAATCATACTTCCTATTATTGGGGTAACATTGGTTAACAACATTGCATTTAAGGGTATAGATTTAGGGGTATAGATTCATACCTCTTCATATGTGTATGTTACTACTCTACATCTACCACCAAAGCACCAATAATCCTTGTAACTGCTTTTATATAATATTTTAGAAATGGCATGAAAAATTGTTTTTGTTATGGGTTCTTTCAGAAGAAATGATAATATATGCCAAATACTGCTCTAACTTAAAACATTTGGTAAAAAAGAAGGCAATTGTCTCATTTGAGAATGCTTAGCTAATTATTTTCAGAGCTAACAGTTTTGTAATTGGGAAGCCTGTAATTAAGATTCTCTTTCAATCAATTTTATTTGGAACTTGGGTTATACACAGTTTTTATAGTTTCTAATGTCAGCAATCCTTGCAAACTGTAGTAGAGAACTGTAAACACTGTTATGGTTTCTTTAAAAAAAATATGTGACGTCTATGACAACATAATCTGAAAGTAAAGATGGCTTCACAGTCCATCCTTCCCACTCACTCTCACACACACACACACACACACACACACACACACAGATATCCCCTAGCTGTTATAATTTCAAGGCCTTCATATTAGGTTTTTTGGTATATCTATTACCCTAGAAATTTGTACTGCTCATTGTAATGAATTGCTAATAGAAATTGGAGAACTCTTCTAAACTCATTATTTTCTTTCAGTTGTGACATGGATCTGCATAGCATCCCAATGTTTTTAAATTCCAGTTTCTACTTGAATACTATCTTCCAAAAATATAGTTCAAATTGTTATAGGACTGATTCTAAAGAAGCCAATCAGTGAAATAACGAAATTTTGAAGCTTTTTATTTACATCAAGAACCTGTGAAGCTTAGGGATTGTTGTTTGAGTATGGCTTAAGTAGTGAATTATAAGCTAAGAGTAATAGTTTGAAATTTCTAAGATCATGCACTTTTATTTGTCAAATCACTCACAAATGTGCTATAACACTGCATCGCAGAATCTCAGCTAGTTTATTTTAAACTTAAAATTAATGTGATTGATAAAGTGGCATAACTCTATACTTGGAAATTGCTTATGTGACATATAAAAGTATTTTTAAAATGTTAACATAAAAGAATATTTTGTATGAATTACAATTATTTGGGAATTTCTATTTTTGGCAATCTTTAATTGGGAAATATTAGTAAATTTTTATTTGCTTCAGTTTATTGGACTCATCTAATTTCAAGCTTTCCCCTAAATTTAATAATATCCAAAGAAACATTCCAACATTATGAAGAAAATTGTGAAAATAGAATTATTCTATGAATAGGTCTCTATCCCTGAAATAAAGCCACACTTTTGCTACTGCTTTGAAAATCTTTTGAATCATGAGTGAAACATTTCACTGTTAAGCTTTCTCACAGCTACAGATCAAATGTCAGTTTCTAGTTTGAGTGATTTAGAATGCAATTATTATAAAAATTCATTCATAGTAACCTTTTGTCTCAGATAATCAAGTCACTATGTGCCAGTGTTTACAAAAATATGATAGTGTCACATTATAATGTTGGTTTGGAGAAGTAAGTAATATTCTTAAGGGCCAGTTAAAGTTATGCATTAATATTTCAAGAGTACATATTTGGTTCAAAACAATTTTTTCCTTCCTAAGATATTGGGACATTTTTTTTCCTTCTCTCATCATTATTGAGACAACCTAAGTAAAAGATTTCTAGCCATTAGGATGAGTTGCCCCAAGTCCTGTTTGAACAGGTGGACTGAATCTTAGAGTCCTGTCCAAATGATTTGGCCCACCACATAATAGACAAAAAATATTAGCTCCTGACTAATAACTTTCTTACAATTTCCTGGGGGGAGAAGACTGAGAGCCAGAAAGCACTGCTGGAATGTAACCTGTCTGTTCATGTCCAGGCGTAACCCAACCCAAAACAAGCTACCACACTGTTCTCATTCCCTGCCTCATGGATCTGCCCTTCTCCTCTTAACCTCTTCAAGGAGCCAGGCTAAATTTTCCTTTCCAATACTGGTTCCTTCATGCATTAGTCTATTGAAATTAAGCCTCGCTTGGTTCAGCTATACCTAGCACTCTGGTGAATTCTTTCCCTGGGGGGCAAAGGACGCACTCTTTCAAATTGGGGCCTGTAATATTATGACTACACCAAATATGTGTAAAATACAAGGTGTTCATATCAGTTTCTTTTGAATTAAACATAATCTCAATTTAAACATATGAGATTTAGAATAAAGCAGCATACTGTAACTAGTAATAGCCTTTTGTTGAGTAGGAAATCATACAAATAATATTTTAACATTTAAGCCTATCTTTCCTTTAAAAAATAAGGAATCTTTCCTTTAAAAAATAAGTATTGTAACATCTTGTTTCTTTCTTTGATTTAGATCGTGGTACTGTGCAGAAGGTGGTAGTTCTTCCTGCTAACAGCTCTTCCAGTGGCGAGCTCATTCTGGAGGAGTTGGAAGTCTTTAAGGTTTGAACATCTCTTCAATTAGTCTCAGAACATGCATGACGAATGGAATTCTTTAATTTTGCAGCAACTTGGGAGGAAAAGATATTTGATAAATATAAAATAAATGTATTTTATAAATTTTTAAGGGAGAAAACATTAGATAAAATGAGAAATAGAGAACACATTTTTTTCTAAAGTGTTTTTTTTTTACATTTCAAGTATCTTTTTTTACATTTTTCAACTATCATCACAACTTGAAGAATTTTGGTCAGCATTATTTTTTGAAAAATGAGTTCTTGCGGACAAAGTCTAGATTTGCCATGAAAGAGCTTTTATCATTTGTTTCACAGCTCACTGAAACTCAAATGCTTTCCTATTATTGCTAGTTAGATAAACTTTCTCATTTTTTTTAGGCAGGGATTTCAAGAAAAGCTGCTTTGTTTTCTCTTGTTTATTGCTTTTAATTTGATTGTTCCTCTAGTTAAAACAAATGCTGTCTCCTTACCACTCTGAAACTTCATGTTCTGTTTGAACTTGAGATTTCATTGTATTATCTCTTTGTCCTTGTTTTTGGTATTAAAGAAAAGAAAAACAAGTACAAGGATAAAAAGAGGTCGTTCAATCCTAAATGATCTCAACTGCTCAGGAAAGTGTGCTATTCTTTATTTTATCTATTAGCTTGGGTAGCAGTTTTGTCTGTCCTGCACACCCTTCTCTTCTTAAGAGGTAGGTCATTGTAATTCAAGTGGTGCCTATTATCAGCATTGGGAAAGATGGTTAAGCATAGCCAGAGTAGAGGTTAAGATTGCAAAGAAACTTTGGCAAGGAATCAATCCTATTGCAGACTCCTATTTCTAACTCAACCATTTAAGAAACAATGACCCACACAACAAAAGACCAGAGTCAGCCTATAACAGAGTAAAAATAGCACTTCTGAATCCCCAGGAACAGACTATTACTAGTTCAGTAAGCTGCTTTGTTTAGTGGACACAGAATGTATTGATTATATTAATATATTTTCCCATAGTCACCCAAAATATTTAATTGAATTTATAAAAAGTACTCAAAATGCAATGTTGTTAGATTATATTAATAAATCTTAAATATGAAGAAATATTAAAAAAACAAACAGAAAATCCAAGGAATTCTGGTAAATTTTCAGTATATTATTAAATTTACAATTTTTAAGGCTAGATTCACTGCTAGACTCACTTTGCTCACTTTCTTTATTACATTAACATTGTACTCATAATATGTTAATTGTCTATTTTCAGGTGTCTTTCTGTGACTTGTTTTTTAAAGAAATTGAATTTTTCACTAGATTAACCAAAATTGAATTATATATAAAATATTTTTTCTCTTTCAATTCAATATGAACAACTTGACTGACCAAAAGAAAATAGATTATTTATTCTGGAGTATTCTTCAAGATAGCAAAATTGCCATGTTGTAGCACTTCACTTTTAATTTTGATATATATATATAAATAATTTGATAATAAGAAAACATTGAGTTTGACACAAACACAAACATATGTTATAAAAAGTTCTTAAAGAAAAAAAAAGTTCTTAAATGTGCTATTTTGCTCATGTGTTAGCTACTTATGGTCTGTTATATGAGTTATGTTGGTGTTATCATCATGAAGAATAAACTCCCAGTGGAAAAACAGAGTCAGTCAAAATGCATGTGGGGATATCATCCCAAAAAGATACTAAAAATGTCAGTTTTCTTATGGATGTATGTGCCAGAGATTGATAATGGCTAAATCAAGAGACGCAGTTACCAAATACAGTTGCTATCTTCAACATGGTGTTTGTGTCACATTTTCTGAGGTGAGGTAAAAATAATTGGGTGTATATGATATACTGTGATGGCACATAGGAAATAATGCATTTAAATTGCAAAAAAATCTGTAGCTAAGTGTCACACTGATATTCTACAGAAAATGTAACTTTTAAAAAACAGGCTCTTTGTTTTTAGAGTGCAGAGCCACTATCTTCTTTTAATCCTCTGTGAAGAATAGTTTCTGAAATATTTCCAGCTTTCCTAAACTTAACTTGAATTGAAGGTACAGCTATTAGTAGTTGCCTAAGAGGATCTAAGGTAAAATACTTTGTGTGTGTATTTGTGTGTGTTTCTGAGTGATGATCAAAACTTACTGTAATTGATATCACCATCTTCTTTCTAAGTATTTGTAAATACAAAACAACACCAGAACATAAAATAATTGTGGGTACAGTTGATTTTGAGAGTTTGTTTCCACTTGAATTTTTCAATAAAACTTCATGAATTATTTTCAGGTTATCTCAGGTCTAATTTTTAATCTTTAAAAGGAACTAATAATGTCTAAGAAGTAAAGTTGTAAATAGAATGACTTTCAAAAAGAATTGCTATTTCAGAAAACTCTTAGAAAGGCTAAGTCACATTTATTAAAAGAGGAACTTTTCAAAGGATACTTCTTTGTTTGAAACAAAAAGAATTAATGATACATTTTCTGAAGCAATATTTGGCAGATGAATAATAGTATCTTATAGAGAGCACTATGTTGTGGAAAAATAAAATGGGGTAGCATTTTACAGCCTCCCCATTTGAATACCCAGGTCCTGAGTTTTCAAAATATACTTTTCACTATTCCAAAATATACTTTTTTCAATTCTCTCAACGTTTTTTGTTTTTTTTTTTAAATTTTTGCTGTCTGTATTGATTAATGTGTTGTAATTCCAACTATTTAGTTTAGGCATATATTTATGTAACAAATCCTTCCTTCACCCAAAGAGGAAAGTAACTTTTTACACAAATATTACAAAATTTTGAAAGTATGAATCCATATAATGAGAAATGATGATTTCATGAATTTTAAAAGAAAATATATTTTACATGCTAAATTTTTAAGTATTATTTTCAACTAACATGTCTTTCTAATCTTTTAGAATCATGGTCCCATAACAACAATGAAAATTTCATCGAAAAAGGTAAAAAGAGCCCCAATTTATTGCCTTTATGTAAATAATTGTGTTAATATGAAAAATATATTTTATAATTTCTGAAAAATTAATTTTAGTATTTGTATAATAATTCTGTTTATACCCAAATTACTGTTAATTTTGATGTAGCATTTACTAGCTACTAGTGGAAAACAAAATAGGTAATGTTTGCATAAAGTCTGTCAGAGCAGAGCATATTACAGCAAGATATTCCAACATTTTGTATAGCCTATATTTTCAAATATTACAGTATGTGAAGCTAACCAAGATAAAAATAATCTTTCTGAAGGAAGAATTTAGCATAATGTTTGGGCTATTATAACATCACTAACATTCTCAGGAGCTTGAAATGAGTAATCAGACTTCTTTTGAAACCCTGCTGTTGTCACATGTTTGAAATGTGTGGTGCATTCTTTTATGCTTATTTCTAAAGAAGCACTATTTTTTTAGCTTATCCATGTCATTAAAAAAAATCTGACTGTCTCAAATGTAAGCTATACTAGAAATCAGAATTTGGGGGGAAATGCTTCATTTTGATTATCAGAAATGTTTTAATCTTCTACTCTGTGACTGAACATACAAATAAACAATAATCAGGAAGGAAAAGCCTAATTCCAGTCTCTAAAGGTGCAAAAATTGTACCTCTTCAGCCCCCAAAGGTGATCTCTCTAAAACAAAACTTCTGAGGATTGGATGATTGTAGTCAAGGAAGTAGGCTTCAGAGTAGAACTGACATGCATCTGAATCCCAATCTGACCATAAATTATGAACAAATCATTTAACTTCAGTGACCTAAGTTTTTGCCTCTGCAAGGTAATGCCTTTCTCACAAATGAGTTAATTTATATAAGTTGCCTACAATAAAGTGGGTCCTTGGGAAATGCTGTTTGTTAGAGCCTAAGTCTTATTTTTCTTGGAATATGGAATAAAGGTTTTATGTGTTAGCACAACGGCTGACATAACTTAAGTGCTCTTCACCATATTTGGTCTGTTACAGATGAAGAAGTATTCCAAAGTCAGTCTTGTACTCTTTTCACTTGACTAAATTTTATGAAGAAAAATAAATAGGGTATAACGGACCTAAAGATCTCATCTGTAAAAATGTTTGGATGGTACATAACGAACATTTTCCCAAGTAACAAGAAGCTATTTGTCATTTTCCCCAATGTCCTAGGGAGCTGATCTCAAGTCAGAATTGTCTTTGAAGTCAGCAGGGAAGGCCTTTGTTTACAGTAGTTAAATGGAAAGAAAAAGTTTCCAATCAAAATTCAAAATGGACACAAAGCCATTTGTGTGGCATAATAGTCTTATACACAATGACAAGCTTCAACTTGTAATTCAACTTGTGAACTTCTAGTTCACAACCCGGTCCATAAAATTGTAATATAAACATGCACCTACATCCAGGAAAAACTGAGTATTAAGTATTTTTTCAACATAATATATATAATCTAAAATGTTTAGGCCAGTTAGATTCAGGGCAGAGTAATTTGACTTCTTTTGAAATTAGTTTATAGTGGAATACTGCAGTTTTTTTCCTGTGTGAAATTGCCAGTGTTGTTTTATGTATAATTTAAATACATTGTATTTAGTGCCTACTTTAGTGCTCAATTTTATTATCCCAGATTTATGCTTTTTTATTCCCTAAGATATTCACATATTCCATATAGCAGAAAATAGTTGAATTAATTAAAAAGATAATTTCCACAATGAGACTACCTATATAATTTTCTCAAGTAAACCAGTTTCCTAAAATATTTTAATGAGCTATTCCATTCACTCTGTTATTTATTAATGTACTCAGTGAAAACTGATCCCAGCCCTACCTACGGAAGTTATTATTGTCAAAACAAAAAGTAGTTTTTAATAGTTTGAATATCTCGACTGATGATCAATCATTTTCATCACAATTTATGAAAAATTAGTTGAGTCAAACAATTATTTTACATTGACATAATATGATTAGATGTGATTTGAATGACTGATTAATATTTATAGCTTATTAGTAGTTTTGTTTATTGACAAATACTGCTACTTTGAACATTTATTCAGTGCTTATTAGCCTAAAACTGTTCAAAGTGTTATATGTGGAATTAGCTCCTACTGCATTTAGTTTTTACAAAAATTATGTAAGTTAGATGCTATATTATCCCGTTTATCAATAGGAATCTAGGATTTTGAAAAGTTACAAAGGAGTTGACATGGGATTTTAATTCAAGCAGTCTCCCTCCAGAGCCTGGTGGACCTGTGATGCCCCATTGATTTAATGTTTAAGCTGTATGTGTTCATAAATATGTATAGATGTGCGCATGCATATGTGTATGTACATGAATACAAATTGCAGCTTAGAGATTCTTAGCTAACTTGAATTTCATAGTATCTGTGTTTTGTAAAACAAGGAGTATCAATTAAAAATTTATCCTTTTAGCTCCTGAGAACCATTTTATGTACAATTAAAGGAACTGGAGAAGTAGCCTAAGACTCTTGACACCCTATAAGTAAAGGAGGATAAAATCTTTATTTACATCTTACTTAGAGTAACGAACAACTTTTGATATCTAAATAAAAATAATAATATTCTATAAATAAATTTTGCATTGTTTTAATGAATAATGTATCACTTCCAGGGCACATGGAATTTAAAAAAATTACCTAATACTTGCTGTCTACCTTTTTTCCTAACTTAAAATTTCCCTTTATTTTAAACTTGACATTTTCAAATTTACAAGGTATTGGGTTGCCAGACTTGAAGAATAAGAAAGTTGTCCTGTGCTTTGCCAAGAGACAACATTCAAAGAAAGAAAGAAAACATCATAATTTAAATCTGCAATATATTAGCTCAAATCTTAGAGAACAATGAATCCCAATGTCTAAAACACATTACCATTCTACATAGAACTTTGAGCTTTTTTTTAAACAGGAAAGTGGTAATGTTATAGGCATATTAATGTAGGAAAATTCTATTTATTTTGGCTTTATACCCTTCAGTACTTTGCTTCTCGTTTTTAGTCTATTTCGAATGAGTCCAAGGGTTTGTGTGCATGTATTATAATGGGTTCCTGCTGAAAGTCTTCTTTTAACTTCCACATCTGAAATAAATCATCATGATTCCTTTAATAGCAACAGTTGTATGTGAGCTCTAATGAAGGGGTTTCCCAAGTGTCACTGCATCGCTGCCACATCTATGGCACAGCCTGTGCTGACTGCTGCCTGGCCAGGGACCCTTACTGCGCCTGGGATGGCCATTCTTGTTCCAGGTTCTACCCAACAGGGAAGAGGTGAGTACTAAACATTCAGCTGAAAATCAAAATTGATGTCACCACATCTTCAGAATCAGTTCTGTTGTGGTAGTAGAAAAGATGGCTCTAAAAGTCATAGCAGCTACATTTAGCACTTAGCAGCATATACTATTTCACTGAAGAAAATGGCCTTGCTTTATAACTTTATATTCTCAAGATATGTTAGAACACATTTCTTTGCAAAAAGTTCTTTCTCCCTTTGTAGTTCTGAGGCAACACAGTTGCCCCCCTGAAATTGATCAAATATTTCAAATAGCATTTTAGCTATTTACCTAACTTCTATGTTTCATTTTCTATGATACAGGGTATCTTAAAATTCCATCTTCTTAGGGTTTCCATGTGCTGCTTAATTATCCTGTAATCCAATCCTTGTCCTAGTTCAGGTAACAAGCATTGGTCCAGGTTGAGTACCCTGATTTGTTTTCAAAACAAATTTATTGCCATGATTTACCCTTTGGAATAGTAAGGGAATGGTTGCTAATTAGAGTTAAGAGAGAAAGGCAGACTGAACCAGCATGCCTTTTATCACAGCAAAGACTAAGAAAACTACTCTGAACCAAGTTGGAATAAACCATCAGTAGCAAAATTGTTTGTAGAACAAAGAAAATGCAGATTCAGAGTCAATCAAGGTCACAGCAATTTTCAGTTATACCTAGATATGGATCATGATGAATCACAGGACCAAAACCCCTAAAAAAAAATAAGTTTAACTGGAGAGACCAAATAGGTTCGGCTATGAGCACAAATGATCTTGGTATTTTCTGGTTCCTTTATCCTCTGGTATAGATATAAGCCTTAAGTCTATTGACAGATTAAATAACCTTAGTGTTTGTGCATATCAAAATTATTCTGATCCTTTTCTGTACTAGTGCAACATATATGTATCATAGGAAAATAATTTATCAGGCAATGGTCTCGAGCTAGGCATATAACAGGAAAATCAATAACACACAAAAGACAAAAGTTCCTTCCTTTAGTGATAATAAATTCTAGAAGGCAAAGGTAGATAATAAATAAATAAGGAAACCCTATAGTATATCAAATATTGATAAGGTCAGCGAATTTTAAAAGGCAAAGAAGGGAGTCAGGGCTAGTGGGTAGCAGGGGGTGTAATGTTAAATGGATGTCAAGGGATGCCTTCTGGAGGTTGTAATATTTGAATAAGGACTTGAATGTGATGAAGAGAGGCACCAAGGCATTACTGGGGAGAACTGCATTCCAAAAGAAGGACCAGAAATCCTTGTAATTGGGTGTACTGGGATTGTTTAAGAAACAATATCAAAACTAATGGGACTATTCTGGAATGAGAAATGAAAGGGTAGGGAGAAGCAAGGTCAGAATGTCAGATGACATAGGACTTAATAAGTCATTGAAGGACTTTTGTTTAGAGTAAAATGGGAACCATCTGAGAGTGTTTGACACATGAGTGATACTATTTGACTTTTGATTGAAAAAAATCACTCTGGATGGGTTTAGATGGGACTCCAGCCCCAGGATAGGAAGAGAAGGGGTGGGAGGAATGGGAGAGAGGCAGAGGTAGAAGTTGCAAGACAGTCTACCATAATGATTTTGATGAGTTACATGGTTTCTTGAACAGGGATGACAGAGGTGCAGAGAGAAAGTGGTGTGATTCTGGATAGAGCTAGAGAACCTACTGCTATATTAGATATGGAATGTTAGAGAAGTAGGGGGCTGAAAATGAACCATGTCAGAAATGAGCATTATGAAATATATAGATCCCATTTTTGAAGAAGGGAAGACTGTGGAAGGAACAGGTTCATGGGGAGAAAAAGCACATTAAATAATCGTGCCTGTGAGATAGTCAAATGGATATACTACACAAGTAGTTAGACATAAGAATGTGGAATAAAGAGGGGTATCTGGACTGGATAATATAAAAGTATTCTGTATTTAAAAGAATGAGATAGGAAGAGATTTCCCATATTTTAAACCAGGAGGATTTAGTATCTGTTTAAAAACTCTGTTTCTCCCTGTATTTTTAAGATTTATTCAAGTCTCTGGCCTTTTTTTTTTTTTTTTTTTGATTTATACATATTATTTCCAGACCTCATTACCCTTCAATATTCTGTCTTTGCACTGGACTGGAGGTCTGAACCTGGACAAAAAGTGTAAAGGAAGAGCATTACAAATATAATTTAAAAAAAATTGTGACTACTGTTAACTATTTTTGACCATAGTTGTTTTTGTAGTGCTGATTATTACAGCAATATTTAAAAATCATCACTATAATTTTTGTAAGATAATACCTTTTTTTGGTAAGTAGTTCTAAAAATTTATTTTATTAACACCTGGGATACAGTCCTCAGTCTGTTAAACAGATCCATTATCCTGTCTTAGAAAGTGGTATGAGGACCACGAAATGAATCTTACCATCAACCCATAGCAACCTAAACATGAAGAAATTGAAGATTAGTACTTCTTCCCTACAAAACTTTCAGACATTAACTTTGGCCAAGAAGTACTTTTATTTAACAAAGAATATTTCTCAAGTAAAATCCATACTATATGTACACTGTCGTGGCATATTTGAGATTTTTTTTTCACATTTTAGAATTTTCTGCTGAAATGAGTTGATTCACTTGTTCTCATATTCTCTGACAAATTATAACCCCAACACTATCCTAACACTACACTATCCTAACACTGTCCTAACACTACAAATCACTACAAATCACTACAAATCATGATCTTAGTCATGTTCTTATAATAAAGAATGGAAACTTTTAATTCTTTACTCTTATAATCTTATGCCTGGTATTAAATGATGTGTCAAAGGTTGAGAAAGTAAGTAGCAGCTATTTAAAAAGCTGTCTTAATGATATCTACCAGTGTCTTGATTCCATCAAAAAAGCCAAAAATAGGGCTTCCCCGGTGGCGCAGCGGTGGAGCGCTGGGTTGCAAAGCTGCCCGCAGCCTCTGCAGTGCCGGTTGGATCCACGGCTGCTCCCCGGCCACTGAAGGAGGGTCCCACATGGCTCGCAGACCTCTCCTGCCGCCCGCTGCTCCCCTCAGCAGTGTACTTCGGTCCTTCAGTCCTTCTGCCTGTTCTGCTCCCCGCTCTGGCTCTGGTGAATTCTCTCACCCTCCCACGCTTCTGACTGTACCCAGTGCTTGTATAAATAAATAAAAATAAATCTAAAAAAAAAAAAAGCCAAAAATAAAAAAAAAACAAAAAACATTGGCCTAACCATACTTTTTTTTTTTAGATGTTATTTGGGCTATTCTAAACTCCACACACCTTTTTTTTTTTAAAGATTTATTTTTTATTTATACAATAGTGGGGTACAGGCCAGAGGCACGAGAGGGTAAAAGGACTCACCAGAGACAGAGTGGGGAGCAGAACAGGCAGACGTACCGAAAGCACTGCTGAGGGGAGCAGCGGTAGGACAGGAGCGGTCTGCCGCGCCATGTGGGACTCTCCCTGGCTGGCCGGGAATCGAACCCACACTGCAGAAGCTGCAGACAGCTTCACAGTGCTGTGCTCAACCCGCTGCACCACCGGGGAGGCCTAACCATACTCATCTTTGACCACCTTTTATAATTCTCAAAATTATGTCCAAACTAGTAAAACATACATTTGCAGCGACTGCATAACATGTGTCCTGAATGAATTAACCTTTTTTCTACATTCCCTATGTACCATTTTTTATCTTTAGAGAATAACTTGTATTGATGAAAGTAATCACTTGGAATGTTTTCTACATTCATTTCCTTTAATAGTGTTCATTATCTGGTTTTATTCTGCTTGTCTAACTGGAACATCAAGATCACTTAGAAAGACTCATAGGCACAAATACAGAAGCTTGTCCTTTGTGTAGAAACAGAGAAGTAGAGTTACATTTGAAAATCAATTATTTGATGCAAATTGTTGAATATCATTGATTCAGCAATTTCTCTTTTTTAAACAAAGATTGTTCATAGTAAGCAACATAAACATTATTTTCTACTTTGCCTTCAGGTATCATAAATATTTGTGTATTTGTGTCAAATGCTACAATTTAATCTCAAATATTATTTATTCTAGATTCAGGCATGTAAGTAAAAACTTTAAGACAACATAATCAGTTCAATCTTTTAAATATCTGTCTTTTATACAAGAAGAAAATGATTTTGCTTTTTAGCTGAATGAATAGCCTATAATGCTTTCCCAATGCTATACAAATGCCTTCAAGAAATATGTACATACAAAAGGTTCAGATGACTGCCCTGCTGAAAATGTTGATTAAGTGTCTCTACAAATTTATAGTATCAATGAGGGAAACTAGCAGGAAATTCACATAGGAGGTTCATAGTCATTCTATCCTAAGTGGTACTTGGAGAGAGATTGAATGTATTCAGAGTGAAAGACAATGGTAAATACACACCTTATCACTGAAGCATTGAACTAGAAGTGTCAGATAGCAGTGCTAGAGAAACAGACCTCTTTTCTTTATAATTGCTCAGGCAATCAAACTGTGAAGTTAAAAAGGCAATCTTTTAAATGTGGTATAATTAATAATGTTAATTCTAAGTTAGTTGTATAAATTTCTGCACTTACAGGAGAAGTCGAAGACAAGATGTGAGACATGGCAACCCACTGACTCAATGCAGAGGATTTAATCTAAAAGGTATTAAATGAGTAATGATCAAATTTGGTAAAAAGTAGCCATGTTCCACATCACATTTCAGTTCAGGAATCCATTGTAATATATTAGGTCTTTCATTTTATGGAAAGATTCACTCTAAAAATTCTTAGTACACATAGATGATAATTAGAAATTAAATGTTATTTTTATGTTAACTGAGATTATGTAAATCAAGCATCTGATTACACAGATGCCTTGGGTATGTTTATTAGTAGGTCTTTCAATTTAATGGTAATTATAGATATTCTTAGCTATAATTTTCCTTCTGAATCAAAAAGGATTTTACTTTTTCATACTTTTTTTTCTCCTATATTCCTGATTAAGGTCACTTTGATTTATAGCACTATATATGATTTAGAGCTTTAAGCTCATCCCTCTTCAGATGTATATTATCACACCACACCCACTACCAAAACACCCTTCATCCTCAACCATAGTCCACTGAAGATCAAATGAAATAGCACCTTATTTGTTTTAAAGTGTGCATTTCTGTGACATTAAGTGCATTCACATTGTTGTGCAGTTATCACCAGCATCCATCTCCAAAATTGTTGAATCTACGCAAAGTGAAATTTCATGCTCATTAAGTAATAATTCCCTATTTCTCCCAGAATGGCAACCACAATTCTACTTTTTGTCTCTGATATTAGCTACTCCAAGTACCTCATACAAGTAAAATCATATAATATTTGTCCAATCATAACTGGTGTATTTCATTTTTTTTGTGTGTGTGGGACCCTCGCCAGCGGCCGGGGAATGAACCGGTGCTGCAGAGGCTGCAGGCCTCTAGCATAATGTTTTCTTTAGGGATCACTCATATAATGTGTCAGAATTTCCTTCTTGTTTAAAGTTGCTTAATATTCCGTTGTAAGTATGTGCCACAATTTATTTATCCACTTATCCATCACTAGATTTTTATTTCCACTCTCTCATTTTTGCAAATAATTTTGCTCTTAGTTTATTGTAGTATTGCAACTAAAACAATTCTATATACATTTCACAGTTTTGCTTTGTGTCTTAGAATTAATCTAACCCTTCCTTCCTGTACTTACATGGAGATATTATGTCATTGTGCTTTTCCCACCAGTCACAGCCTCCGCCCATATAATCCAACACTTTACCAATCAGAAGTATCTCCAGGCACACCTTTCTCTGGATCCCCAGGGTGCTACAAATGTGCTATTGTTAACAATTACTACTGACACTTTTATTTCTAACCTTCTTGAATCTAAACTTTTCTTTAGTAAAGAATAGCATTCTTGTTACTAACTACAGGTGTAACATGGTGGTCCCCAGGAAAAGGGGGGGTTCCAGGTTTCCTGTTCCATCCAAGGGAGGGAATAAATTCAGATCACCGTTTCTCTATTTACTGAGTATTTCCTAAATGCGTGTGTCAGTTCCCATTCATAGCGGTAGTGTTCAAAGTGCAAGGAGTACTGGCAGTGGAAATAATAATGACTTTGTGTCAGAACCTGAACTAAGTGCTTTTTTTATGGATAACCTCATTAAATGCTCAAAACGACTATTACCCCGACTTCATGAATGAGGATTTTGTCCAAGTCTGAACTACCAGATGATTATATCAGAACTTGTGTAAAAATATCATCATCCATTTTTTAAAGTCAAATAAAACTTAGGCACACAGAGTCAGGTAATTTGTCTAAGGTTGCGCAGGCAGTATTGGTGAAGTCAAGAATCAGATACCTCTGATTCCAAGCACTGTTCTCAACAGCTACATTCCACACTTTGCTTTCCACCTCCTCCCACCGCTTCTGAATCTCATTTATATAACAGGGTATGGAGTGTAGGGGTGGGGTAATATTGCCTGCCGCTTAGTAACTCTTTAACTAAGATATGTTTCTTCATATAGCACTCAGCCTCAGTTTTCTCCACCAAGAAAACCTAATTCACAAGGTTTTGTAATAAATAAATGTTCAGAGTTGTACTAATTGCATAATTGGAAAAGAACAATTCTTGAAGAAATATGAACCCCCTTTGTTTTCCTCTTCTTCCCTTTATACTAAACAAAACAGCTAAATAATGTATACTAGTCATTTGTTATTAAGTGATTAAGACTTCCTTTAGGGGGCTGCCTGAGTTTATCACAATTTTATTGAGAAATAAATGTACATATAGAATTTATTCTGAACATTATTGCTTCTCTCTCTCCTCTCCCTCTTCCTTATTTTTTGCTTTCCAGCATATAGAAATGCAGCTGAAATTGTTCAGTATGGGGTAAAAAATAACACCACTTTCCTTGAGTGTGCCCCCAAGTCTCCACAGGCATCTATCAAGTGGCTGTTACAGAAAGACAAAGACAGGAGGAAAGAGGTGAGTTTTGCCGCACAGCAGCAATCAATCAGGGCTTTGGAAAGAGCATTAAATCAACATCCTTCAGTGAGGTTCAGATCAAACAAAAAAGAAAAGGCATATGAACATCCTTTTATGTCTTTGGGATGACAAGTGCCACCTTCTTTAAAATCCTTTGTCTGCACAGTTGATGGATTAATTAGAAATCCTGTCTGCCTGCTCACCTCCATAACTTGGGGATTGAAACAAGAGCTTGGGCATGCAGACACGTATTGATGCAAGGAAGCATTTGTAAAGGAAACAAGATGTGTGCAAATTCAGAAGCCAAGTTCTCACACAACAGCACCTTTGTGTGATTCACAGATAAAAGGGGGCTTGGAAAAAAGTTCAATTTTCTTTAGCAAGAAATTGCTCTATAACCTATGTGGTAAAAAGCATTTTTCTGCTATGTGGTAATGTTTCCATTTATTACTCATACTCTCAGGTTTTGTTTAAGAACTATATGGAGTCATTGTTTATGGAATCATCGCCTTTTTTTAGTGATATAGATTTTAAAAAAATAGATTTTCAAATAAAAGAGTACTTATTTTGCCTTTTCACTTGGAAAGAGCTGTTTTAAAAGAGGAAGATTATAAAATAGCATAGAGTAAAATATTATAAATGATAAATTCCATAAATATTGATGTTACCTTGTCCTGACAAATGAGAAGAAATATATATAAAAACTTAGGGTAGTCTCCAATGTGATGCTATTAGCAGTACATCATAAAATCTGTTGGAGCAAAGGGGAAATTGGAGCCTACTACATTTGTGTGTATTCTTCTGTTATGGGTAGTTGTGATACTACAAGTTAAGTTAAATAGGTTTTTGCAAAGTGAATATAATCACAAGCTATAAAGCACAATGCTACATCAGAGTTACTGAAATAGATATTGAATCTCTGACCTGTCTATCCAAATATGTTAAGAGCTGTTTAGAAAATTGTGGGTCCCGTGTCACCAAAATATTAAATTATAGACTGATGACCACTTGCTTAACAAGAGATTTAACTATCTGAAGGAGCTGGATGGACTGCAATGTGCCTTCTTATCCAAGAATTCGATAAATTTTTTCATGAAAAACATTTCATTAAATCTGTTTTCTTTGCTATAAAATCTGTCATGAAATAAGTTTTGAAATTTCTAGAGTTTAATTATTTGAAATTCTTATGAATGAATCTGGAAAGTAACTGCCTCGCAAAGTAACCTGAGGAAAAATTAATGTGTGATGATTTTATAGACATGAATTTATTAGAATAAAGTATGACACTCAGATATGAACAATCCTTCTTGGAAAAGTCTGGATATTTGCATGTAAATTGAAAATCTAAAACTCAAACATGGATTACCTAACATGGATAAAATGTTTGTCTTTTATTCAGTACAAAGTTCAATAGAATAAGATAAAATAAGTGAATATAATTACAGCTGTTTAAATTTTTACTAAATGAGTATATGTAGGCTTGAATACATGTCTTTGAAATTAATAGAATTTAAAATGTAATAAGTGCAAACCATTATTACTTCATTTTTAAAATATGAAATGTATTAAAAATTTCATTTATCTCTGTTGTGTAATTTCAATGTTTTATTTCAAGAATGTGGAGACCTAAATATTAGCTTCTTGATTTTTCTTCAAATCTCAAACGCATTGGAATGTTATAATTTAATACTCAAAACCTAAGAAAAGTTTCAAACTTTAAGAAACATTAACTGTTACAAAAATCCTTTCTGCCCAGAATTTAAAGCACAATTGTACTTTATTTTAATATAGTAAAATTAACTATTAATATTTTAATAAATGTATCCTAATTCTTCCTTAGTAGTTTACACAAGTGACTCACTTCTTATAATAATTTAGCTAAATATGATTTTAAAAAATTAAGACAAATGCTAAAAACTCATGGAGAAAAATGCTAATCATGCACTCTAACACAAAATAAAAACTAAATACTCTCTTCCTCTCTGCTTCTAACCTTTATTCCCACTTCCTAGTGTATAGAGCTACCAAGAATTATATATTCCTTCTATCATTTCTCTCTCTCTCTCTCTCTCTCTCTCTCTCTCTGTCTGTCTGTCTGTCTGTCTTGCTCTCTCTCTCTCTCTCACACACACACCCATTCACAATTTCATATCAGTACCTTTGGAACTACTTCATTTTTCTTGGCTGCATAGGATTTCTTTGTATAAATATAACTTAAGATTTTGTTGTTGTTTTTTTTGTTGTTGTTTTCCCAAATTATCTTTATTGAGGTCAAGTAGATTTACATCTTTGTATTTGTTCCAGAGGTTATAATTTCAAACCTCTACTAAGACATACTTTGACACCTAGCACACCAATCATGCCCCAGCAATCTTCACCATGTTTCTTTGGACTCCTTCCCTCCTCCACTCTCATTCTACTACCCTCCCCTTCTGGTTGCATCAGTTTTGCAATCAAATGTTGAGTTTATTTTTGGTTTAGGATTGGAGTGATCCTTTGTTATCTTTTTCCATAGTCCACATATAAGTGATACCATCCAGTGTTTATCTTAGCACTATCTTTTTCAGTTCCATCCACATTGCTGCAAATGACAGGAGTTTATCCTTTTTAATAACTGAGTAGTATACCATTGTGTATGTATGCCACATTTTTCTGATCTGTTCCCCTGTCCTTGAGCATGTACATTGTCTCTATAACTTAGTTATTATAAATAGTGCTACAATGAATATGGGATTACATATATCCTTTTGAATTTGTGTTTCTATATTCTTAGGGTAGATACTATGAGTGGGATTGCTGGGTCATATGGAAGATTCATTTTAACATATATGAGAAACCTCCTTACCTTAAATTTTTTAAAGTTATCTCCTGGCAAGCTCTTTTTTTCCCTTCTTATATAAAACATGATATAAATAAATATTGGGGTATTTTTGAGAGTATATCCTCTACATAAATTCCTGGAATTATAATTTCTGCACCAAATATTATACATATATTAAAGTTATGTTATCTTGGCCTCTAAAATGTTTTCCAATTTTTCTGTAAATGGGAAAGAATTTCTCTTCATTCATTTCTGAAGGCATTTCTACATTATTAAAACTCTCTTTGAGGCACATTAAAACTTCACAAATCAAATTAACATCAAAACATCACTTTATAGGGCCTCCCCGGTGGCGCAGCAGTGGAGCGCTGGGTTGCGAAGCTGCCCGCGGCCTCTGCGGCGCCAGTTCGATCCCCAGCTGCTCCCTGGCCACCGCAGGAGGGTCCCACATGGCGCGCAGACCTCTCCTGCCACCCGCTGCTCCCTCAGCAGTGTACTTCGGTCCTTCTGCCTGCTCTGCTCCCCGCTCTGGCTCTGGTGAATTCTCTTACCCTCCCGCGCTTCTGACTGTACCCAGTGCATGTATAAACAAAACAAACAAACAAATAAATAAATAAAACATGCCTCTATTAAAAAAAAATCACTTTATAGAGATAGGTAATCAGTTCTTCTTCCTCTAGTCCCCTTCTATTATTTCAATACTATACCTTTTATGTGTGTTAGTATTTTTTTTTTATTTAAAACAACATTTCTCTGATTTGGATTTAATTAATAGTAAAGAATGCATGTACACAGATTTACCATTAGGAAAACATTTCACATACATTCCTTTATTTTGACTTGAGTCAATTATTTTTCTTCTCAGTGAAAGAGCATTCCAGAATTTACAAGTCAAGGAAACCCTTACCACTTAGGCTTTTATTTGTCCATTGACAAGCCTATAGTTGAAACTGTGAGGAAGATGTATTTAAAGCAGTTAGCTGATACCCAGAAAATGACAGTTTTTTCTAGTATAAATCTGCAAAATATATATTAATCTCTAGCTCTCTACTACCTTTATTTGGAAAGTAAAACAACTTAGAAGACAGAAGACAATGACATTCCAGCTTATTTTTACTCATTATTTACTGTAAGATAATTCGAAAAACCCCTTGGCAATGCTTAAAACTGCCTTTTATGTAAGTCTTAGTTAAGATGATATTAATTTATTCATTGAAAAAAAGCAAAACTCAACCCTTTAGTTGTAGCTTTATGTTTTTACAAACACGTGAGTAAATGTGCATATAATAAAAAGTAAGAACTTTATGTAGCTTTTTTTATAAACAAGTGAGTAAATTTGCATATAATAAAAGGCAAGAACTCATGGTTTAAATAGATATTTTAAAGTATCTGTGAATTTCATTTTTTGTACTGACTATGTGTGATTCACATTCCAAAAGCAACCAAAGCTGATGCTTATATGTAGAGTAATTCCTTCTATCCAAAGGGAATGCATTTTCAGCTATTTTTAGATATGTAAGTAATAACTTACCCTCTCTTTAATAAATTTAAAGAGATACAAGATCTACTAAGCAAAAAAAGTGTGTCCCTACAAAAGAAACCAATTAGTACGTAATGCTTTTGCTAAATTTGTGAAAGTCAATAATACACTATATATATGGTCATACATTTTTAGAAACTATGGAATTGGGTTTTAGAATTTTGATGTGTTTCTTAGGTCAAGCTGAATGAACGGATCATAGCCACTTCGCAAGGACTCCTGATTCGTTCCGTTCAGGATTCTGACCAAGGACTGTATCACTGCATTGCAACAGAAAACAGCTTCAAGCAAACCATAGCCAAGATCAACTTCAAAGTTTTAGATTCTGAGATGGTAGCAGTTGTGACAGACAAATGGTCCCCATGGACCTGGGCCAGCTCAGTAAGGGCTCTACCCTTCCACCCAAAGGACATCTTGGGAGCATTCAGCCACTCTGAAATGCAGATGATTAATCAATATTGCAAAGACACAAGACAGCAACATCAACAGGGAGAAGATTCCCAAAAGATGAGAGGGGACTATGGCAAGTTAAAAGCACTCATCAATAGCCGGAAAAGTCGAAACAGAAGAAATCAGTTGCCAGAGTCATAAATGTTGTCTCACCTGGGGCTTAAGCTTACTGTAGCAAATAGTCCATCTTTAATTACCAAATTTAGAATCTTAGGTTTTACCCATGGAAACATCCTGAGAATGGTGATCGCTCACTCTTAAAGTGAATGTTACATGAACTGAAATAAGCATGCATTTCCTTGTATGATATTGACTAGCACTAGACATGTCATGGTCCTCATGGTGCATATAAATATTTAACTTAATCCAGATTTTATTTATATGTTTATTTACCATTTCTTCAAAATCAATACAGTGGCTATAAAACTAAAAATTTTATATCCCTTAATTGAGCAAGGGCCATAACCCTGGATCTTCCTTTCTTGTTTTAGGGGTTTAGATTTCTTATTATCAGCAATTTTATATGTGAAAACAAAATGCCAGGTTTACAACTTTTACATACTAAGAGTTGTATAAATGCATGTGATAGAGTAACTGTAAGAAGGAATGTAGAATAGATAAGAAAAAGGGAAGAGGCATCTAAAAGTTTTACAGAACCTGAATGATCCACAAGAGAAAATAATTTTGTTTCCAGTGAAATATATAATTATTTTTTAAGATTTTAAATGTTGTCAGTTGCTGATATCAATCATTATTTTTTGTCCCCTTGTTTCAAGAAATAAAATGAATGACCCTCACCATAAATACCTTCATTGGAACTATGTCAGTAAAGCATTTAAGTTTATATTCTTACGTTATCACCTTCCAAACAAAAGTGCTTTCTTTTCTTGGAAGTTATTTAAGTTATTTTTGACTCAAAGAATATAATCTTAAACTGTTTGATTACTGTGTTTGTTCTGACTTCTTGTTCTGTGTGACAATTTAAACAATATATGAAGAAAAAATATTTGACGTATCAAACTTGTATATGAGGGGTGAAATACATTGGAAAAATATTAAAAATGCAATGTTATTAAGAAGTTTGTAAAAATTGGTTATTTTTTTTAACTTCAGTAATTAATTTCACTGATTAATTCTCACATCTTTCTTTTTTTATTTACCAACCTCACATAGCATACACATTTTTAAAAGTCACCAATTCAATTTTTATGATCCTTTGTTTGTTCTGAAGAGGTTCTTAATATGTCAAGAGGTGAAAAAATTAACGTAAATACAAATAGACATATGTTCTTTAAGAAGAACATTGGTCCATTATGTTCAATGGTATTTAAATACAAATATGGTAAGTTTTGTGATGAGTAATATAATTATCTTCTAATTTTATGTTTGAATCATTTTTTTAATAATTTGGCATTGAGTTTTTTTTGTATCAATTAATGGTTAGATGAGAAAATATGAAAAATTTCCTTATATTTTCTTATTTCTCAAAAATCACAATATTTGCTCTTGCATGTTATTGAATTTTAAAGACATTTTCATGATTCCAAGTGCAAACAAATTGCATCATTTATTATTAAATCATGAAGGAGGTAATCAAGGTAGATATATCATTTTTTAAAGCACTACACTCAAGAACTAAGATTATTGTCAAAATGAATGTTATGATTCAGAATATAAGAATATGATATATTATTTAAGTGGCAGTAAATTTGTGATGTATAAGAGGAGACTTCCATGGGGCAAAAATAGCCTTACAATACCCAACATAAAATTCATTAAAAAAAAATTATTTTAAAAAGCGATTGTTCAAAATATGTATAATTTTAAAGTAATTCCTAAAGCAGGTTATTGAACAAATGGTTTACCTGTTTTAAGGTTATAATTAGATTTTTTACTCCTCTATATGCACAAATAGAAATGTTACAGTAATAAGCCAAGATCATCTTCAGTATTTATGACCAACTATTCAGTGAACAGAGTTAGAACTGCCAAGTATAAAGAGAATTTTCTTTCTCAAATATATTAACATATGAATGTTGGTGGTTGGTTGGTTTTCTTTTGTGTAGTTTGACTATTCTATGACTTAATATGTTTTTCCATTGCATTGTACATAAAATTTCCTAGAAATGCACTTTTTTTTCAAAGTGTAGTTTTGTGAATAGATTTTAGCATGATGAAAGTGTCCTTACAGTGAATGTTCACTCTGTAAGAAAACAAATGTAGTTAGTACATTTAATATTTAATTGGGTTTTGAAGAATAACTTGCCTGGTAAAATAAAACATGTTGAATTCCTCGCCAAAGCCATTAACTTATTCTTAATCAGTTTGTAAATGCTTTTTGACATGATAGAAACCTACTTAATTTTATAATTTCTTTCTCTTAAGTTTTGTTTATTTACATATTCATTTTTGTGAAAGTAATGCATCTGGACATTTCAAAATTCAAAACTTCCAGAAGGATATACATGGAAACCTCTCCTTATACCACTACCCTTGTTTGCCCAAGTCCTAACCTAGAAACATCCAATGTTGTCAACTTCTATGTGTATTTTGATATTTTGTACACATGCATGCAAATTCATACTGTTTTCTCTCTTAGAGGCAGCTATCTGTAGAGGTTAATTCAGACTATGTTGTGTCTACAGCAGAAAAAAAAAAAAAAAAGTATAATTTAAGAATGCCTGGCCTGAGGAGCCAAAATGCCTGGATTTGAATCCAAGCTCTTATCTTTGGAAAGTAATTGAATTTCTTCCTGCCTTAATATTCTGTCCAACTTCATATTGGTAAAATATTAGGACACAAAATATCATAAAGTTATTAATCAATAAATGTCTTAATTTTTTTTTTTATTTAGAAAGTGACACCTTACTAGAACAAGAACTCTCAGTTGTGTTCTTTGTCAAGTTAAATGCCAGTTATCCAAGGTGAGGAAACTGCAGTCAGTGGATCAGGTAATACCTTTACAGGTTAAAAAAGGAAAAAAAAAGCTTTTATAAAAATGAGGGGAAGAAAGCAACAGTTAACTAATAATTCTCCTAGCAGATTTGAGTGGCAAAAGTATTAGAGATTTCTTCTGTTTACTTGTGGTCTTTCAATATAAAGTAATGTGATGGGAGAAAAAAGAACAAAAATTTGAAGTTATCTCAAATCTTCCAATCTGATGATTCTGCACTATTCATAAATTGCCTCATTATTTTTCAGTATCTCCCTCAGTTAAATTTCCATTTGATTTTAATTTAAAATATTTTCAGTGATTTTCTTATAATCTAAATGCATTTTAATGTTTTATATTGCCTATCAAAGTGAAAAAAATTAAAAGATGGCAGATTCTTATATCTATTCTTCTAACTTAATTCAAGAGAGACCTTGAAACTTTATTTTGCAGCAAAGTTAAGCTTGTAAATAAGTCTAGACAAGGAAATAATCAGACTGAGCAATAATGTTTACTTAGCCAGAACATTGAGAATTTTATTGAATTTTATTCATGATAACAAATCTGTAGAAAGCCGTTATGGAAATTTTTTTCCCAATGATCTTTTGGAAAAGAATACAACTCCCTTTGGCAAATCAAAAACAATTTTAACAATTATATGTATGTATCATTATGTGAATTTCATTATCAATACATTGCTTTTCCTACAGGGGCTCTGATATGTATTTCAGTTTTAATGGTTTCAGTATTACTTTCATCACCCACAGGTAATAAGAATTCAAAGAACTAGCTCTAAGAAAATGCAATCTTCTCTCTAGTGACTAATGTATTTGTATGTTCATCTCATAATATAGCACTTCCCACACAGTTTGAATTGTGTATTTCTCAGGGCTATTAGGTTGCCATGCTTGAGTGTTTCTTACATAAAGTGCTATAAAAGAATGACATTATAACAAACACATTAAAACTGTTCATCCTATGTAAGGTTACCACTCAACCATGGAGCATAGAAGCAGGATGAATTGTATTTTTTAAGTGTTTTGTTTTTCCTGAATTATTTATACAAAAAAGTCATTCAAACATTTTACAAAATGAATAACAGTGATTTCTGCATGGCAAAATGGATATGTAATGGGATTGTTATGAAAAATAGTAAAATTTATTATCATTATTATTATTATTATTATTATTACTTCAAAATGAATCTCAATTTCTTTTTTTTTTTTTTAATAGAGGCATGCTTTATTTATTATTTGTTTGCTGGTTTGTTTGTTTGTTTTTTGTTTATACATGCACTGGGTACAGTCAGAAGCACGGGAGGGTGAGAGAATTCACCAGAGCCAGAGCGGGGAGCAGAGTAGGCAGAAGGACCGAAGTACACTGCTGAGGGGAGCAGCGGGCGGCAGGAGAGGCCTGCGCGCCATGTGGGACTCTCCTCCGGTGGCCGGGGAGCAGCCGGGGATCGAACCGGCGCCGCAGAGGCCGCGCGCAGTTTCGCAACCCAGCGCTCAACCGCTGCGCCACCGGGGAGGCCCTGAATCTCAATTTCTACTTCAAGTTCCCTTTCCAACCTCTCCACTTACAAGTGGCATAGCCAGGGATAGTTACATCTTTCTTAATGAATTGTTGCTTTCTCTAATATTGGAATCATATAATATCTATTACATATAGTAGTTGTGAGAAATCAATGAGTTAATACATGTGAGAAATCCTAGAGTATCTGATAAAATCTCAGTAATATATGCTATTATTCTTTCATCAGGAAAGCAAAATCATTTTTTTCAAGTATTTGAGCATTTGTTTCTTTCTACTTCAGATTTCATCTAAATGGGCCAACTGGTATTTTATGCATATGAGGCAACATTATTTTTCTATTTAAACGTTGCCGTCCATTCACAGATGTTCTCTCAGTTGTTTCTTGTCACTGATGCAGAGACCTTCCAGAGCAGATGAGGTTTCCTCTTTGTCCAATTACACTTAAGGGAATAGGAATTTTTCTGCTATTCTTGCATCATTCTGGGAGACAAGCAGGTCAGTTCCACCCAAACAATATGTGTGTGTGTGTGTGTGTGTGTTCCTTGCCCCTTCAGGATCTTGTACCTTCTGAAGACACAAAACTGAAAGTGAAGTAGAAATACAGGATCCACAGCCCTTACATGCCACCACCCCTTCCCCCAATTCACCCTGAATCTCCATGGCCTCTGACAGTGTTGTCATTAAATATCTCTCATGAGCTTGAGCAATAGATTTCATTCTTTAGCAGTCAAGTACCCCCAAGAGAATTTTGAAAAGCTATGTAAACCCAAACACATATATAAGTTAACATCCAAATTTTCAAACCTTAAATAGTTGCATAGAATATAATTTCCAGTATGACATAAATTTTGACATTTTACAATGAAACATCTATTTTCTAAAATGACAGCAGTAGAAACAAAATATAGGATTTGGTTCCCACCATCATTTTTAAATGATAAATAATAAATTTTTAAGAGAAATTGTATATCATTCCTATTTCTCCTTATTCATATTTTTAGTCTACTTGCACCACACGAATGCTATCTTCTTAAATTAAGTTTTATAGTTTGAAGTTGTTGGTTACCCTCTTACACATTTCTGCAACAAAAACATGTATATTAATTCTTATTTAAAAATCCTAAACATGAATATTTTTAGATTAAACTGAAATTATCAATTAATATAATGTGAATACAGATCATGAATATATTCTAAAATTTAAAACTCATTAAACATAATAAGTAAAATATTGAAAATGCTTATATAATGAGATCTATGGAGCTTCTTTTCCTTCTATTAATTAAATTACCTGTGAATGAATCTTATTTGAGAGAATGAAACAAGGTTCAACAAAATACTATTTCTGATTTTTCATTTTAGATATGAACACATGAGCAAAGTGCTTACATAATTATAAGAAGGAATTAGGTTCACTATACTGCTGCTGCTCAAATATTTAAATATCCTTTGAAGAATATACTCACATCATTATTATTACAATTTAGTGATTAATAAACTGACAATTTTGGTTATGTTTTTTATAATTTTACTAAAAGAAATATTAGGGAATCATCATCTTCTCAATTCTTGTGCCAATACTTCTAATCATACAATTGATAGATATTCTGGCTCACTGAGGCCACAACATGATTTTTCACGGTAACTCTGTAATAGACTCGCAGCAATCACTTACAGACCGACAGTGGGAGGCAACTTAACCTCTCTGTACTTTTTGGGTTTCTCATCTGAAAATTGAGGATAATAATATATTATACCTCATACGGTTCCTGTGAGGGTTAGTATCAGATTTTTATATAAAGTGTTTATGAAAATCCTACCACATGGTTAAGATATTAAGAACTCATGCTATTATCACATGCTGTTATAAACTCCTCCTCTTCTTTCCTGCAGCTAGAATATGCAGAAAATTTCAGAATGAGATTTATTGCCTCAGGAGAAAGTAGCTTCGTTTTCAATACTGAAAGCCAAAACAGTCCAATAAAAATCCAAGGACCATTAAAGACAATGTTGTTAGGATGCTTTAAGACAGGCTGGGGTCACTTGGACAGTGGCTGTAAATAACCAAGGAAGCAAACAGCCTCTACAGATGAGAGTCCACAATAAATAACCTTACTGAAGATTCAATGTGACATGATTAAGAGAATAGCTATTAGCAAAGACCAGCCGCCTTAATGGCTCTGTTACCTAATCCTGATTTTATTTACTGGGCATGTGATACACTTTATCCTGCATTTAGAAACAAACTGTCTGAGTGAAAGACAACAAGTTAGAGAATGAAGTGTGTAGTGAAATCTCCTTTTTCAGAAGAGTGAAATTGCAATGTGGGAACTCAAATCTTTGAGAGGTCATCAGTGAAGCAATGATTCTGGCGTTTGTAATGAATCCTCACAATGGACTTCCAGCCATTGTACTAGATTACCATTTTCCTCTGTATGTTACACAGGAAAACTTTGAGTTTCTAGAAAGATGGTCTCTGGATTAACTTAAAATGACTTCATCAGACTTTGGCTTTGAGCATGGAGGTAAATCGGGTTCCTTCTCAGAAACAAATTATAGTTACTTGTGGTTAAAATATTTATGGAAGATAAATTTGAGGAAGAGAAAGAAGGAATAATCTGATTCATTTCTTTACCTCTTCCTTAAGAACGTTACTGGGTACCGGCCACCCCTTACACCAAAACCACAGGAATGAAACATTTACAGCCAGAGAACAGCAGGGGGCGCGCTTAACATGTTCTGAAATTGTTGGGACTTGTTTTTCTTTTTTTTAATTTGTCAGTACATTATGAAAATCTGGCCTCCTTGAAGTAATTTTATTTAAAAAAAAAAACCAACACAGCTTTGTAATTCCCCAAATTCATTTACCCCTCCTTTATCCCACATGGTTTGTCCATACTGTTTTATAGAATTCTCCTTTGTTATTACTTTTAATCTCTGATATTTGTAACTTGCCAGCTATAGTGCGACGTTCTAATTTCAATCACTTTTTATTCCTATTTTCTAGGACATTGATGTCTATAAACCAGATGTTTAATGAAAATGTGATGCTTCTCTTTTTGATAGTATAGAGTAAATCCTTTTAAATTCTAATTTCAAACTAATAAGGTACCATTAATATTTAGCACTATATCACAAATTTAAGAACATTAACAGTTATTGGTTTGAAAATTAATGGATAAATGGCTATGATAAGTGGAATACTCACTAAAACTTATCACCAAACATCTAATAAAAAAGTAATAGTCTCAATTCTTCAAGGGAAAGTTACCACAAATATAGAATATTTGTCAATGACTATGACATTTAAACAATAGTGAAGTAAT